AAGCAAGTCTTTCGGAGAAATAGAGAACGTCTTAAAACCTCAAGCCCATCATTCTCACCCTTCAGCTGCTCATTCTTCTTAAGCAGACTAACACAGACGCGCTGTAGCTCATCCACTCCCTTCTTAGCATAAGCAGCGAAACGAAGCTCAGAAATTGCAAGCTTAAGATCTTGAATCTGAGGCGAATCAATCTCAGCAGCAAAGAGAGCAGGCTTTGGCGCCACTTTAGCAGCAGAGTCCACCTTACCACTCTTCATAATAGCAAGTCTCTACAAAGGTGAACCGGACTTGGCTCTCAAAGAACGTCCTGGTACAGACTTCGGCACTGGGGGCATGATAAAACCTTTACGCTGGGCAATCTTATCCACAATTGTACTAGCCATTCTCAACATGGAAGACGCCACATGCTCAGATCTAGCAGCCTTATTTTTCTTCCCATTAGAAGAAGTCATGTCAATCACATACCTCTCGGTAGCAAGCGGACCCTCATGAGCAGCAGAAGAAGTCTTCAGTTTTTTCTTAACTAGACATCTCATGAGCAGGCGGGGAAGATCTCTTCTTTCCATCTTCATTCATAGTAAGCTCCACGACAGCGATCAGACGAGCCAATGTATTCGCCTTGATCCTCTTTACCTCATCTTTCTGGAGCAGCCCACATTTCTTTCAGCAAAGAAGACTAAGCAGCCAACGACATTCATGGTACTCAGCAGGGGAGCTCAACCCAGCATTCCAGCAGGCAGAAGGCCTGCATGCCCAACATTCCAGCAGCCCATGAGACCCGCAATCTCCTTATTTCTCTCAATCGCCAGCCTGGCCCGAGTCAGGTCCAAGAGCCCAAAGGACATGAGCCATGCGGCTCGCCTAACACTGTGCCCTAGCGCCGCAATCCTCGACCCCAGCTGCACAAGCTGTCCTTGGCTCAAGCCAAGCCAAGCTGCCCAAGCAGTGGTCCCTGCCACGACGACTCCTCAGCTCATGCCGAGCTAGCTCCTGGCCCCTGCCAGCCGACGTGCCGCACCACCCCGACGGCTACCCCGCAATAGCACTATCCAAGAATAAGGCAAGAAAAATTAAATTTTTCTTACATTGGTGCGGTACGAAGAAGACGAAGAAAGCAACGAAAGACGGTCCTTTGCACAGGCAAGATGTAGAAGATTGCTAGAGGAGGGGGAACAAATATCCTCTAAGCTATCTCTCTCTTGTAGGGTAGAATAAATCGCTATCCAAAGTTGATTTAATAACCCACTTAAGGTGGACTTAAATAGGCTTTGAGAGAAATTTATTTCCTTTTCCTAGAAGGATCTAATTTTCTATTAAAGAGAGAATCTACATCAAAATAGGAAGCAGTCCTAAGTTTCCTAAAGCAAGAAGATCTCTACACCTGCTGCCCTTTTCTGCGAGCAGCCCAACAGGTATGGGGGCATTTGTGGAGCCAAAAATATTCACAGGGCGACACGTGGATTTTTGGACAAAAATGACAAAAATACCCTTGCAGTACAACGAGGTTCCTACGCGCAAGCAGCGGGCAACCCTCTTTCAACCAAGACAGAAGTGCCCAAAATAGGTAACAATTCAAAGTCCATCTCATCAAATCCTTTCTACAAGGTAATTCCCAAACACATTCCTTTTAAATTATGTTAATTGGCTAATTAATGGGTTTATTGCCTAATTAACCCATTAATTGTCAATTAAAACCATCCATTATATCCAAATAACTACAAAATACATCCAATTCAACCCTAAAACACCACATGGCCGGCTATCCCCATTTCAAAAACCTAATCCATCACTTTTTTCTACCCTTTTCACCATTTCTTCCTTTTTATTACCCAATAAATTCAAAAACCACCAAAACATTCATCTTATGTTTAATAGCCAAATAAATTGGCTAATTAAACCTAAATTAAACCTAAAAACCCTAGCCACCTCCTATCCCTATAAATATACTCCCATTCTCACCAAAAAGCTAATTCCAACACTTTGGCAAAAATCCCAAAATTCTCTAAACACTCTTTCTCTCTAAATTCTAACTTTGGCATCGGAGGTTCTTCGGCCAAAGCCCCCCCCATTCATCGTGGGCGCGTGAGGCTCTTGGCCTTAACCTAAGGTGTTAATTGTTTTGTAGGTGCAAAATCGTCCAAGATCGAGGAGGAAGAAATTTGCATCCACAGAACACTTAAATGATTAACCAATATTTAGACACTAAGAAAGATCATTCATCCTCATGAGGGAAATGGTGAATTAATACTTGGTCCAGAAGTACCATATTTCAGTGAAGTATGTGCTTAACTATATTTAGCACAATACACTGAATCTTATGTTACACTTCTTGTGAAGTACAATGCCAACATATTTGTATTAAAATGAAACGAAGCTTACCTATTTATATCTCCGGGAAATTATAGACATGTGCTTGTTCTAGTCCAATGAACTCGCTAATAGTCATGGTCTTATTGGGCAAGCAAAATCCAAATATCTCTCTCGCTTACATAAAGTTCGCTCACATATTGAATTAAGTAATGGAAACTGGAGAAACTTGTTGAAAACAAGTATGGTACACAAACTCACCAACTATCTGCCAAATTTTTTGTTTCAGAAGTTCAAGAATCGCACCAACACGCATTGGCCCCATGACAAGTTAGTTAATCCAAGCTTGGGGGAGCGTCTAAGAGTTTGCTACTTTGGCCATATGAAAGTATTTTTCTTTCCTTTAGACCATCCATTCATCTCATGAGTTCTCATTGGAGAAATTTTAAAGACAATCCATCAAAGACTTGTGGTCATCCAAGGAAAAATGTTATAATAGTAGATGACCCACATGTGGAAATGTTGAAGACCGTCGCACCACTTCTTGTCAACCAACAAATGTTGAAGGTGTGCTGCTAGTTGATGTGAGAATTTCTTGACACACAAATTAAACCCTCTTTTTGACAATTGTAGTATGGATGTAAGTAGGGTATCGTTCTAGGCCGGGGATTAGGAGGGATTGCTAATCTATTCTAAATTAATTTAAAAAATATTAAATAAGACTCAAGGACACAAAACTAGGCTAAAAACTCTAATAACTTGAAACACACTTAGAATGACTCAAAATAATGGAAACACTCAATTTAGACACTAGGAACTGAAATGGACGGAAATTGAATTAAAAGACTAACAACAATGAAAACTAACTAAATAATATAATTTAATAATGGGGGGTGTTTGGTTTTGACGAGAAGTAAATTAAACTTAAATAAATTACAGAATTGACAAAAACATGAAATTAAGGTGAAAGGATAGGTTACGGACTAGCTAGAGGGTTTTTCTCCACACATGACACATATGCAACCTAAATTGATTTTCAGTTGTTCTTTCAATAAATTGTGAATCTCAACACTTCAGATTAACCGTGAACAACACTTTTTTAATCTTCAAGTTTTCCTTAAGTTATTGAATTGGATGGGAAAACGCATACAACAATTCAAAACATTCTTCAAAAATCCCCTACGTGAAAAGCACAATAGAGATACAATCAAAGATCATTAAACTTTGTGAAAACTATAAGCATTGACGAGGCATTCGTAACTATGAAAAGCATGATACTCTTGCCAAGAATTCACTTAACACGATTGTGGATAACAACCTTCACTACTTGTGAATATAAGTTCATAACGATTAGGTGAAATTCACTTATATTCTAGCATCAAATTCATGCATGTAAATTAAGTATGCATTCTTAATCGACATACAAAAATAAGTTATCAATCAAGCAGTTAAGCAAATTAAATCACAACTCAGAAATCACAACTGAAAGTAATCAATTCATATTACAAATATATTCATGGCTTTGAATTAAGCTCTAGCTAAAATAAAATTAGTTACACATTATTCTCAAATTAAACCAAAAGTTAAACATGAGTTTAGGAAAATAGAACCGAAATAAGAGAGTGCAGAGGTTTCCTCTTTCCCTTGCCAAGCAGTGGCGTGAGCTCTCTATTTTTCTTCTTCTTGTTTTTCTGCTCCGTTTGCTCTCTGCCCAGCTGCAAAGGCAGCTTTGCTTCTCTCCCCACGCCTAACTTCCACGCTGCCAAAGGCAGCTTGTATCCTCCACCAGGTCTCCTTCTAATCCCCCCGTTTCTATCACTTTTTCTGCTCCATTTTCCCCCTTGGATCCTTTCACGCTGCCCTCCTCTTATTCTTCTTTTAAATTTTTTTATTCCTTCTTTTCTTTTTTTATTCCTTTCCTTTTCTTCTTCTCCATCCGTTCCTTTCTTTTCTTCTACAAAACAAAACCATCATGATGATGTTTCAAACATCATCATGACTTATCATTATTATATATACACTACTAGAAATTTCCACTTTGCCGACAAACTTAGTTTGTCGGCAAAAGTCAAAATTCGTCGGCAAAGAGCCTTTCCCAACGAAAAACTTTGTCGGCAATTTTGTCGCTAAAAGCATGTCGCGCAAGATCTTTCTCGACAAATCTTGATATTTCGTCGGCTCATTTTAAAGGCGACAAATCTCAGCCGTCAAACTGTGCCCGTCACCAAAACAACATTGCGACAAAATATTTTGTCAGCATAGGTTGTTTTGTCACGATGAAGTTATTTGTCGGCTTAGTGATCTTGTCACGACAAAATATTTTGTCGGCTGAGTAATCTTGTCGCGACAAAACATTTTGGCAGCTAAGTAATCTTGTCGTGACAAAATGGTTTTTCGGCTACGTAGTCCTATGACAACAAATTGGTTTGTCGGCTCAAATTACTTGTGTAGACAAAATAATTAGTTGGTTGAATCTTTTGTGAACAAAAACATTTGTCGGCTAATTAATTTTGTGCCGACAAAACATGTCAAGTCCAATATTTTCTAATTTTTAATAATATTTTTATCCATCACAAACAAGCAAGCTTAAGAGATCGAGAAGGGGCGTGAATGAAGAATTAATGTAGGAACAACACAAAATTCATGTAATATAAACTAATGTAAGGTTCACAATTCGGTGTAGTTACAAATACAAAAATATCTATGTTTTCATTTCGAGATTAATATAATAGAGATAAAATATCCTTAAGTATCACCATTCTCACTATAGTCCTCATCAAGTTGATATGCAGCATCATGAAATCGAGAAACGATAAGGATCATCATGAAACATTCCAGTATCAAACAACTGTAGAAGAAAAACAAATTAAAAAACTTGATTAGCAAACGTTAAGGGTGCTAAATATCATTGACATTAAGGAACGCAAGGCCACACTAGAGTGGTATTTCTAAACAAATAACTTATGAAACCATAAATGTGTAAACAACAAGATAAAGATATCTATTAATCAAGTTAACTTACCAACGCCATGCAGCATCACAACCTAGCAAAATTACATGTTTAATAGATACCAGGTAATAATCAAGTTAGCATCAACTACTTATATGTCATTCATCACTGTAAACAACAAGATAAACATTATAAACAGCAAGGCAACATGATTATCACACTCTGTAAACAAGGCAGCATGATAAGTAGATCATATAAATCCTTGAAAGGTCTATAATTTATATAAACATAACAATACCAATCACCTAGCTAAGTAGGTTATAACTCTAGAACATAAGCATATGCACCTGGAAACATTAATAAACTATACTAAAGCATCCTAATTCATCATTGTTTATAATCTTTATCAGTGTAAACAAGAAGATATAGGCATGTACTAATCAAGTTAATCCTCAAATATCAAAATTACCTAGTGTGAATGATCCTCACATTGGTCTCCATGCCGTGCTGATACCAGTTGTAAGCTATCTAGCCCAGAATCCCACTGAGCCATAGACAACCTGCAAGTGTTATAGAAAGGAAAAACAAATATGTCAAACCTAGACCACAATATCGAAAAATTACAGTGGAAATCTGGAATTAAAGTCAAAGGGCATTGTTTTCACCAATATTATACAAATGGATGGCCAAATCAACCAAAAATTGGAAACCTAGATCATAAAACTCGAACCCAAATGAAATAGTTCAATTAAGAACATGTTTTTCATCCATATATGCGATTCAATCAAAGCAAATACAATTATTTCATTTTCCAATAAAAACATGGAAAACGAATACAAAAACAAACAAACAAGTTAGCAAATTATTGTGGTATGGAAAATGCATATACAAAATGACGAAATTATTTAGACAAAAACACAATGAGCAAACTAAATACTGACTTACTAATAATCTAGATCACTATCGTCATCAGTAGTACTGCTTGAACTATCATCACCATGACTACTATTTTCCTCATTGCTTATGTAGTCATCAGTATCTATACTACTTTCTTCATTATAATTGTAAATGAATTCATTTTCATCAATTCTAGGAAGAGCCCCAAGATCTATAATGATGGAGTCAATCTCAACTGCAACTGGAGGAACGTTTTCCAAGCAGTACGGAGTCAGAGTTTCATCAATGTGTTGTACTTGTGCCATATCAGGAATGTCTGATGAAGAGTTCTCTTGGTATGTCACATCATCATCACTACTATCACCCTCAGAGTTCCCCTTTTCCGGAATATCCCATACATTTCTATGTTGAATTCTTTGAATTACTTTCCAACCAGTACCTGCCTTAGGATCAGCCACATAAAACACTTGCTTCGCTTGAGTGGCAAGAATATAAGGATCATTATCATACCAACGAGTGTTTGTGTTGACTGATATTAAGTGGTAGTCGCGCTTTATACTCCCTCGTCTAGAAGGGTCTGTATTGAACCAGTGGCACTTAAATAACACCACTTTATACCCCTGTCTATATAACAATTCAATGACACTAGTCAACTTTCCATAAAATTCTAGTTCTCCAGTATCGACATCTCCAGGCACATACACCCCACTATTCTGAGTGATTAATCTATCATCTCGTTCGGCAACTACAAACTTAACCCCATTCACAACACAGCCTTGATATGTTTCAGCTCGCACAGCACCTCTCGCTAACTCAAACAACTCATCATTATATAAAGGTGACTTTTCCTTTCCCAAGCTCCTCATCTAGTAATATGATGGACAATGTTATGCACAAATTATTTTAAAATAATGAAACACGTTACAATAACTACAAAGTTTGACTTACATGTTCACGAAACCAAGAAGGAAACTTATCTTTGTGTCTTTGCTCCACGTTTGAACTACTTTCACGCTTTATTATTTCCTCATGCTCCCTGCTTAATAAGTCAAATAAATATTAGAGCATTTGAAAAAAACTACTTAAAGTAAATACAGAATATGTCACCTACTCAAGGAATGGTGTCACCTCGTCACAATTGTTGAATATAAACCACTCAGCTATCTTCATGTCAGCACTAGTAAATTCAACACTTGAACTACCCATAAACGGTTTTGCAATTTGAGCAAATACAGAAAGCTTCTCTAGTCGCACACCACCATCAATATTTCGTTCACGTCGATTAAAAGAACTTTCAACATTACGGAGATACATCCCACAAAAAGTGAGGGATTCATTTGAAAGGTATACCGCTGTAATAGATCCCTCAGGACGTGCTTTGTTCCGCACATAGCGTTTATACCTTCCCAATAGTCTGCAAAGAAATTAAAGTGTTACAATTTAAATTTACAATTTCATAAGAACAATGAGATTAAATGGGAGAATAATATTGCTACCTTTCTATAGGGTACATCCACCGAAAATTAACAGGCCCAGCAAGTATCGCTTCATCTACTAAGTGGATCATGACATGAATCATTACATCAAAGAATGCAGGGGGAAATATTTGTTCAAGCTTGCACAATATGTACACAATATTTTCTTTCAGCCTTTCCAAGTCTACCACACACAACGTTTTGGCACATATTTGCTGAAAGAAGCTCGATAATTCAATGATCGGTTCAACCACATTTTCCGGCAAAAATTTTCGAATACCCACGGGAATAAGTCGCTGCAATAACACGTGGCAATCATGACTCTTCAATCCGGAAATCTTTTTCTCACCGACTTTCACATTTCGAGAGATACTGGCTGCATATCCATCTGGGTACTTTACCCATTTCAAAAACTCAAGGAATTCTTTTTGGAACTTTGGTTCCACGGTATAAAATGGGTGACCTTTATTCCACTTACTCCCGTCCCACTCTAACCACAAATTTTCTTTTATGCCCAAATTCATCAAATCATTGCGAGCTTTGTGCGTGTCTTTAGATTTTCCTTCTAGGTCCAGTATTGTTCCAACAACACTATCAGAAACATTCTTCTCGATGTGCATCACATCTAAGTTATGCCTGATTTTCAACTTTGACCAATACTCCAACTCGAAGAACACACTCTTTTTCGACCAATTTCGATGCTCAGGCGTTTTCTTCATTTTCTTGTCCGGATTGTTGTCATGTTTACCCATCCGACCAAAATTTAAATTAGCAACTTGTGCTAAAATCTCTTCCCCTGAGAACTCCCGAGGTCTAGCACGATATTCAGTTCTCCCATCAAAAGAGTCTTTGTTATCCCGCCATGCATGATTCCAAGGTAGCCACCGTCGATGTCCCATGTAACAAATCTTGTCGCTGAACCTTTCTGATGTTCCGTCCTCATTACAAACAGGGCATGCATTATAGCCCTTAGTGCCCCATCCCGATAGATTTGCGTAAGCTGGAAAATCATTGATTGTCCACATCAATGCCGCACGTAAGTTAAACATAGAATTAGTAGCCTTATCATATGTTGGCACACCATTTTCCCATAATTCTTTCAGCTCATCAATTAACGGTCGTAAATACACATCGATTTCTCTTCCAGGTGCTTTATCACCTGGGATTAGCAATGTCATAATGGAAAATTCTTTTTTCATACATCTCCAAGGCGGCAAATTATATGGAACAACCACCACAGGCCACATACTATAAGGTTTACTCATATTATTGAATGGATTAAATCCATCCGTGGCAAGGCCTAACCTCACATTCCGAGGGTCTGCTGCAAAGTCAGGATATATATTGTCAAACTCTTTCCATGCAGTTCCGTCAGCGGGATGTCGCATGATATCATCATCAACCCTCTTTTCCTTATGCCACCTCATATCATTGGCCGTGTGCACTGACATGTACAGCCGTTGCAATCTTGGCTTAAGTGGAAAATATCGTAGCACTTTTCTCGGAATCTTCCGCTTCTTGTCCGGAGAACTCTTATGATACCTAGGCTCATTACAAACAGGACACTGATCTAACGCTTTATTTTCTTTGTAAAACAACACACAATCATACTTGCAGGCATGAATTTTTTCACACCCTAACCCTAAATCTTTCAAAATCTTATTTGCTTCATAATGTGATGGAGGCAAAACATTATCTTTCGGAAGCATCCGTTTGAAAAGTGCCATGAAATAATCATAGCATGTGTTGGACATTCCAAACATGACCTTGCCATGCATGAACTCCACAATTGCCGTTAGTACAGAGAAACCTTCACACCCAGGGTACAATTCTCGTTGAGCTTGTTTTAATAATCTCTCAAACTTTTCATGTTCTTCTCTAGGCATGCTGGACTCATCCACTTCCACATTATCATTGCTGATTGTGTTATCATCCTCCTCCAACGCATTGTTTTGACTAACATGCGTGTGTGGATGAAGATCATTGATTACATTCATTACATGATCATTATCACTTCCTATTTCAGTAATAGGTCGCGACACTGGTTGTGGGTTTGAACAACTTGAAACAGTTCTCAATCGTTCCCCATGATGAGTCCATGTAGTATAATTGAATGACATTCCATATCTACCCAAATCTTGCTGAATTTCTCTCAATGACTTTAATCTACAGTTGTTACAATTCTGGCATGGGCACTTAGTATAACCCTCAGCGTTGACATGTTTGCTTGCAGTTTTCAAAAATTCTGAAATCCCATTTAAATATTCCCTACTCACTCGATTCGGATTTCGTATCCATTCCCTGTCCATGGCATATAAAGTATCTACTCCCTGTTTACATGTTTACAAATTTAATTTCACATGCAACATTCATTAGGACTAGCAATCAAACAATGAATAAGATAGGCTGAGGGTGACGGTGTAACAACATACCTTACCAAAGAAAGCAGCTAGCCTAGAATATAATCAGATTCTTCAGTATATAAGCCCAGCCTTGTAACCGCCCTCTGTATAGGAAAATTGAACAAATTTAGAGAGAGAGAGAGAGAGATATATATATATATATATATTTATATATTCCAGTAAAAAATTTGAAAGGAATTAAACCCTGATTCCACCAATCCATATATAGTACCCAGCCACATCCCCCACCCCGCAGAATGTAAAACAATTTCAGATGAGAATTAGAAGGGGAAGAACCCACAATATACTGGCAAAAGAATCCGAAAAAAAATATTAAAACCCTAAGAGAATTACACAGAAAACTAATGGGTTTATCCATCAGAAACGTAAATTGAAGATGACAATTAGGAGGGAAAAACCTTTTTTAGGATTTGACTTTGACGATGGTTTCGATTTCCACCGGAAGGAGGCTGTCGGTTTGTCTATTTGCAGCAACTAGGGAGAAGGAATGGGACGGAGAGAGATGAGCGCTTCGTGCGCCTAATTGTTACTTTTTTTTCTAACTCCCCGCATCTATATGTTGATACTGCTCTTCCCGCACGTGCGTCCTTTTTATTTGTTAAATAAGTTTAGAATTGTGAGTGACATGCATGGTACATTCAAATATCACTAGCTAGCAATTCGTGTATTTCATTTTGTCTTATACTGATCTCTAATTTTAATAGAGGGTTCTGATTTGATATTTTTTGTTATGTATAACAAACGCACATTTAGAGTTTATTTATACTTTCATTAAGTATAATATAAGAATTTATGGTATCCACAAGTGTAAATATTTTAAATTGAAGATCGAGCTCATTCATTGTATTCATATAGGATCAAGGAGTGTAACTGTAAACAATCATCAAAATCGGAGTTAAAATAACCGTTAAATCGTGATTTTTCGTTTATAGCCGTCAAAAAGTTTTGTCTCCTTACATGATCTCTGAATGTTTGTTTTTTGCAATTTTTGGCGTATGCGATCTCGAAGCATATATAAACAAGTTTGACGGTTAGATCATTGAAATTAGTTTCGTAGAATGCGTATCCCATGAAAATGATAGATTCACTAACACTTAGAGTTTATTTATACTTTCATTAAGTATAACATAAGAATTTGTGGTATCCACAAGTGTAAATATTTTAAATTGAAGATCGAGCTCATTCATTGTATTCATATAGGATCAAGGAGTGTAGCTGTAAAAAAATCATCAAAATCGGAGTTAAAATAACCGTTAAATCGTGAGTTTTCGTTTATAGCCGTCATAAGGTTTTATCTCCTTACATGATATCTGAATGTTTGTTTTTTGCACTTTTTGGCGTATGCGATCTCGAAGCATATATAAACAAGTTTGACGGTTGGATCGTAAAAATTAGTTTCGTAGAATGCGTATCCCATGAAAATGATAGATTCACTAACACTTAGAGTTTATTTATACTTTCCACAAGTGTAAATATTTTAAATTGAAGATCGAGCTATTCATTGTATTCATATAGGATCAAGGAGTGTAGCTGTAAAAAATCATCAAAATCGGAGTTAAAATAACCGTTAAATCGTGATTTTTCGTTTATAGCCGTAAAAACGTTTTGTCTCCTTACATAATCTCTGAATGTTTGTTTTTTGCAATTTTTGGCGTATGCGATCTCGAAGCATATATAAACAAGTTTGACGGTTGGATCGTTGAAATTAGTTTCGTATAATGCGTATCCCATGAACATGATAGATTCACTAACACTTAGAGTTTATTTATATTTTCATTAAGTATAACATAAGAATTTGTGGTATCCACTAGTGTAAATATTTTAAATTGAAGATCGAGCTCATTCATTGTAAATATTTTAAACTGAAGCCCTTTTGTGACACCAGCATTAGTGTCGCTATTCCAATCCGACATTACATTGTTTTATGTCGGATTTTTGCTAAATTTCTGACAGAAATTGGGTTTCTTGTCGGTTTTTGCTTCGCCACTGATAAGGTATATTGCAGTAGTGGGTGTTGGTACCAAGTAACAAATTCATGATAAAACGTTCATTTATTTGATTCACATACATTATCTCTGAGTGGGAAGATCCCTGCCAAAATATTACATGATATTTTAAAGGATTTTTCGTTAGTTTTCATTTTTTATTAAAGTGTAACAAGGTATGTTTATATCTTTCGCCGAACAATTAACCAAAAATTCATGTTTACATCTTCCGCGACAATATTTCCGGTCTTTTTAAATTTCAAACATAAGAGCAACCTTATTAAGTAATAAAAGAAGCCACCACGTGAGCGGCTCGAATACGACTTCGAGAAGCTTATAAAACCACTACACACCTCATTTGACTTGGAACAATTGGCAGAGAGGATTGAAAGTTTATAATTTATTCAATCATAACAGTACCAATCACCCAACCAAGTAGATTATAACTCAAGAGAACATAAGTAGATTACATAAATCCATTAAAGGCCTATAATTTATTTAATCTCTGATGAATCATGTCCGGGGATATGGATGATATTGAATCAGCTGTTGGAGGAATATCTTTCGCCTAGTATCAGTAATCTTGGCAAGCTAGCAATTTGAATTCGACAACTTCCGACATTTGGGATGAAGAATTTCATTAATAGACAGAAATAAATCATAACAGTACCAATCCAAATCTAGCAGTACCAAATACATCATAAGTAGATTATATAAATCCTGGAAAGGTCTGTAATTTTTATAAACATAACAGTACCAATTAATCACCTAGCTAAGTAGATTAGAACATAAGCATACGTGCCTGAAAACATAAATAAACTATACTGCAAGAGTTTCTGGTGGTCAGGTTGTGTTTATAGTTGATCAGGTTATTCATTCTCATTGTAGTTCTCATCATGAGCTACATGTTGATCAGGTTGTGTTTGTGGTGGTATTATCAATGATGGAGGTTCCCATCCAGGAACCCGCGCTGCCAGGTCTACCATAGAGTGCTGCCATGTTTGCATCATAACTGCAAGAGTTTGTTTGGCTGCTGCACGAGCCGTATCAGATGCAACTATTCGCTGATCTGCTGCTTCACGAGCTGCATCAGCTGCCTGTCGAGCAGCTCTTTCCTCTACCAGTTCCTCCTCCAACTGACGTGCTCTCAGTGACGTCCGAGAAGTTGATCCACCAAGCTCACGAACTCGGCCATCACCCAAACCGCGTATCTGCTTACCAGGCTTAACACCCAGTACATCATTAAGGATATGAAGACCAACATCTTGATCAGGTACTACTATCTCATTCAAGGGAGTATCCTCCGGATAATCCTTTGCTAATTCATTAAGATAATCCTCTTTCCTAGCAAGCATCTCATCCTATTTTTCAAATGAAAAACATATATTAGAACTTCGTCCAGATTAGAACTTCTTTTATTATGCAAAACTAAAACAACATACAATTTTAGACTTACAAATTTGGACTTGGCAGTCTCATTGGTCCAGTTTTTGTTCTTCCCGGCATAAGCAATTTCGAAGGTATCAATCTCAGGGAATTGGGAACCCGCCTGCCATTTATTAGTTTAGGTTCAAAGATAGTCATAAAAATGGCAGAAATTAAGCAGTCATAAAAATGGATCATGCTAGCAACTAAATTCTTAAAAAACAAAACCTTATATTCAGTCAAAAGTCTTTATCCCTCAAACCCAAAACGTATACTCCAAATTCTAATTTGCTGCAAACATAGCATTAAAACATTCGTTGCTTAACCTGTGTACACTCTTCCACTATGTAGGCGAGTGGGCGTGAACCAGCATGATGCTCATACTTCTTTTGGGCTCGATTTTTTTTGTTAGCCTCTGATTGTTTCTATATTTCACAACACAATAACAGTTTCTTAGCTAGTGCCATATACTTAACAAAAAATTAAGACTAAATGCATGCATGAATCAACTAAAACAATACCAGAAACTTCTCTGACTGAAAATGTTCGCATAAAAACTCCCACTGTCCAGGTTCCCCAGGTCTTGATTCCATCTCTATCGGAGGATTGGCCAATGCCTCCTCAGCCGATGCCCACTCTAAAAAGTATGCATGTAACTCATACTTGAACTCCTTGTATCGTCTAGACATGAGTCTATCAACATAGTCATAATGTTCTTGAATATTGGTGTCCAAGTCGAAGTTCACCTAAGATAATTAAAAACGAGTTGTGATTTTATTCCAATAAATTCAAACCAAAACTAAAACAAAATAAATTATGTTTCTAAAGTAAAATTCAAGTCATTATAGAGATTATTATAAAGTATATGTCTTAAATTAGTGGTTCTACTCACAGTGATCTCCGAGACGAGGTCTGACTTCGACTCGTCAGACATTCTTTTCCAATATGCTGTGTTCATTGGGCAGTGTTGGCGAACAATAGCCCCGGTATCATGTGCCAACAAGCTATGAACAACTTTATCAGTTGCTCGCCTATGCACTGGGTCTATAACGACCTTGATCTTTGCTTGTGTAATACGAACAATACGATTGGTTTTAACCAACCGACATGCCCCGCGCACTGGTCTTTCATCTGGTAAGTTTGGTACAGAACCATTAACACCTACAATGGAAAAGCAAAAAGGCATTAATATGCGATCAAGAACATGTTTAATTATGACTTGACACAATATGTGATGCCAGAAACTCCATATTCGTATCTTCTGCAACAAAAAATTCAGTACTTTCTGTTAGATTTATTCCATATTCGTATCTTCTGCAACAAAAAATCCTCGTACTTATACTAGTCCTTTAGTTTATTGGATTACATGCAGCGATGTATACATAAGGACTTTTAGTTAGTAGTTGGAATTAGAACCCCTATTCCATGTCGGACTCGGCTGAAACTTAAGGGGGTGTTTGATCATCATGGTATATAACATTAATTTTATTAAATTTCTTACTCCCGTGTCGACGACGAACTGCACTCCTCTTTCTGGCAGGTGCTTCAGTAGGTAAATCATTATGAGTATCATCAAGTTGGGATCCTGCTGCACCTTGGGATTGAGTGTGATGAAGAGAGGTCTCGTTCGGACCACTCATGGTTTGGGAACGAGTACAGGGCGAAGAAGGTATGGTGTTTTCCCACCAAGGTCGTGGAGGATCAATGTTTCTTGGCTCTAGTTGAGGAGTATCACTCCTGGTCACACCACCCATAGAATGAGATTGTGTACGAGAAAGATAAGTCTGCCTCAAAATATCAGGCCTATTCCTCTCTTGACGAAAAGTAGGAGGAGCTCCGATAGCAGATGTACACCGTGACTGGGATGGCAGAGGCGGGATTCTTGTTGACACAAGAGGTCGTTTCCTTTTTTGGCTAATCATTGGCATCTACAAAAACAAAACCAAGTTTAAGTTAAATGTAAATACATATATGCAGTGCATTAGAATTCATTGGTAAGAATAAACCTGGTTGCTTGTGGTGCAGCTTCTGCAAAAGTATGGAGACGATCGTGAGAGTTAGAGAAGGGAGAGAGATGATAGAGGCGTGGATGAGAATCAGTTAAGAGTGCAAGAATCGTAAACCTAGGGATATAAATCGTCAAAATTGTTTTTGAGCGGGAAAGACCCCGCCAATTGTTAGAAGATAAATAAGAATTCTTATCAAACTGAAATCGAATGGCGTGAGCGAAGAATGTGGGAGGGAAGTCATGAGCAATTGGGATTAGCATGCAATTGGGAGGGAGATCATGAGGCGACAAAATAGGAATAGCATGCAATGGGAGGGAGATCAGGCAATTGGGGGATGTGAACCGACAATTGAGGGATGTGAACCGACAATTGGAATAATAGAAATATTATGGGAGGGAGATCATGAGGCGGCAAAATAGGATTAGACAGAATATGGGAGGGAGATCATGCAATTGGCAGATGTGAACCGACAAAATAGGTTTGGATTGCCATGGGAAAATTATAAGTTTGTTCTTATAATTATATGTTATGTTTTTTGAACCGACAAAATAGGTTTGGATTGCCATGGGAAAATTATAAGTTTGTTCTTATAATTATATGTTATGTTTTTAGAAAACTTGGCAGCACTACTAGTACTACTACTATATGTTGAATCTGCAAAACTATTCCCCACAGACCAAACCCTCACAGCCTGCTCGCTCACGCTCGTGCCTCTTTTGCAATAGCTGGCAAAGTCCTCGCAGTTGTTTTTAAGCAAATTGTATTCACCGAAACCCGTCCCATATGCTTGTCGAATTAGAATGGATGATTACATACAACTGTATTCAAATTTACAATTGTAATTGACTAATAATTGATCATAACCTAAACCAAGTTATCTGTTGCTAGAAAGTAGTTTGGAGTTAGAATTGATAGGAAGAACTTTTCAAACACTCACATATTATGAAATCAAATTGTCAATATAGATTATTGATGGCATAAAACTACAATCTAGAAATATGAAATGCTAGATATCTCTTTATCTATGCTCCCGTTCATATAGAGAAACAAGAGAGAATGAGAGCATAAATAGTTGCCAAGAGCTTTGATTGCGTTCCCCGGAAAAAAATGGATAGGTGCACTAGTGAAAACCTCTCACGTAGAGTTATTAATACCTTGCCAATGACATACTTTATTGCCTCTCTAATCAATTTGCCGATGAAATACTTTGTTGCCTCACATCATCGGCTAATATTTCAATATAGCGGGAAAAGTTCCCGCCAAAGTTTACCCGTCAAAACAAAATTTGTCAGGGCATCGAATTTACGCCTACATAATAATCGTCGGCTAACGTTTCAATTTTCTCGGCTAAGATTGGCATTGTAAATTGGTTCTAGTGTGAGTATTTAGCCGACAAATTAAAAATTTCGTCGAGAAAGGACTCTTGTGCCGACAAAATTTTGCTTTGTCGGCTTATAATTTGTCGGCAAAATTATAATTTCTAGTAGTGATATTTTTTAATTTAATTTAAAAGCTGATCTACACAGACAGTTTTGACGAATTTATTACATAAAATTTCACTTGTTTTATTTTTATTTTCTTTGCATAACAAATCCTATAAACACAAAAATAACGTAAATAGCTCAAAAATATAAGGAACTAACTAAGAAAAGACGAATGAATTTGAAGTAAAAATATATATAAATATGATCCGATCACTAGTCTCGTGCTGCATGTACTACTTTAACATCTCTTTGCCTTAGCAAGTAACTATATGTTTTCTTTATAACGACCTATTAGTTCACAATGTTACATAGAAGAAAAATCTTTCCATTGCTTTGTAATTTCAGTTTAATAATGAGAGACACTACTGCTATTGCCTCGAGAATGTAAGCACAATTGTTGACCCTTGTAAATATTGTGTCTTATTTATTTTATGTTCCATTGTACACATATCTTAAATTTCACAATATAGACAACACTATTGAAGAAAAAGACATTTTATAACCTCAATGTTGATAGTGCAGTGATGTCGTATATGTCGTATCTTGCTGTTAATTTGAAAAGCATCAAAGTACATTATTGTAGCACACAATGTGAAAGAATGTCCTTATATGAGTGACCAGTAATGTAGTACCAAATATTCTCATCATCTTATTCACTAGTAATATCTATGATGGTCCAAATATATCCACACAAACATTTGCAGAAATGATGCCAGGTCGATTGGATAGAATAAAAATCACTTTCACGTCTTATCACATCAACAGACTTTCTAAAATGGCAGGCGCGCACAACATTTGAATTTGCAGACGGGGGCTCAATCGTAATCGCCAAAATACAAAAGTCAGGAACGCATTCGACATACCACAGCTAAATTTATTCTACTCACTCGATCAAGTTCGGTTGCAGGTTGCTATATGTTAGCATTCACAAGAAAAATATAGTTGATTTATAGTCACACGGTCTGCGCACCATTTGTAAAACTTTTACATTATCTTAAAAAACAATGGTCTTGTGCACACTCTAAACGTGCGTGTTGACTGATCAGAACAGCAAAGCTATAGAAAACATGTAAATTTGATTGAGCTTGCCCAAAGAATTTGACTCTAATGAAATGACTGCAGTGCGAAGAACAATAAATAATAACTTTTAAAATTCATGTTCTTTATTTCTTGCACTATCCTATTGGTTTCTTTTTCAGTATAAGTTTGGCATCTTATTCATCATATTCGCTAAAAATCAGGACTGGTTTCAGAGTCATTACCACGTATTATTTTACTTTGAAAGTGATATAATATTAGTGATACTCATAACAACATGGAGTTGTTATTAGATTTTTAAAGTGCGTTTATTGTACTGGATTATTTCGGATTAGACTAGTTTATGGAACTAAGTTGGATGTACTAACTTGGCTTGGACTAAGCTAGATAAGAATTATAAAACGTTTGATGCAGTACCAAACTAAGCCATAAACTAATAAATTTTGAAACCAATATTTCTTTTTTGCCATTTTTTAAATTTAGTTTTGCCTTTGAAAAAACAAAAACTATATAAAAAAACTTATCATAAGCCATCATCGTTATCCTTGCCCATATCTTCTCTCACATAGAGCTTCAAATTTGCATCAAATGGGTTGCTTGATTGCAAACACTCTAAGAAAAATTTTCCACAACAAATACCCATATTTGATTGCTAAATCTGCTTCCTCAAACTCTCCGACTCCGACTTCGATCCTGATCCAATTGCAATTATTGAAGATTTGTTTCTGATTTGATCTCTCACAGTTCACCGCCACCATTGACAAAAAGAGGAGGGGAGGGTGCGACGGCAAGATAGTGGGAGTGCACAAGGGTTCCAGTCAGGTATAGGGAGAAGGAATTGGGAGGGGAAGGAGAGTTGGAGGGAGATGTCGTGGTGATGGTGGGCTAGCTGGGTCACCACAGATGAGGAGGCACGGGATTGTTAATACCGAGATTTGGACGGTATTAGCCTTTAGTGAAAGTGAATTCCTTATTCTCATTAAAATTAATCCTTGAACCAGGTTAAACAAGGGATTAGGACAATAGCTAAGTCCTAACAAACAAACAGGGCCTTAGAGTGCTATAATAACGATTATTTTACATTAATTTAAACAGGAGAAGGAAAGATTTAAACCCTCAAACGCAATAAATTAAAGAGAAAAATCTTTTTCTTTTTTTTAACAAAAGATATTACCCATACTAAGGTGATGGGTGGGCTTAACCTTACAATAGACTAGTAATAATATTGTTCAAATTCACTTTTGATAAGAATCGAACCTAAGACTTCTCAGTTACAAATAAAAAGGAATACCACTAACTAGAAATAATAAGTGGCGAGAAAGATTCTAAATAACCACTAGGGTAATCCACTAATGAAGCACTCGCCCTTCTTTTGTGAGAAAAATTTAGAAGACAAAAGTCCTTATCATATCTTAAGAAATTAATACATAAGGCAAACACTGCTGTTATTAATCTTTTAATTAATTGTTGGTTGTTACAAAAAGGCATTTTTGCCTCCACCTCCACATATACTAATCTCAATACTCACAACCTAATCATCAATCAATTGTTGGTTGTTACAAAAAGACATTTTTCATTCTTAATAAATTAAACTGAAGAAAATCAGTTGCGATTTCATATATCAAGATAGATTGAAAGGATCCAACATCCTCAGACCATCGCTGCATGGATATTCACTAATTTTTCGGAAGGATTTCAAATAATGATCTTTGAAATAATACGGTTCGTATTATTAGATTTTGTTGTGAAGTGACCCAAGTGAGAGATTAACTTTGATAATGAATTTCATATTGGTAGGAAGAGGTACCTTGCGTGGATTATAAGTAAGTTTGGATATTCGTTATGTTTTTGTGGTGGAACCTCAACTTTCTTTATGGTTCTTGTCTCACGTGTGAAGTCCAATGACTACATGTGCTCCTCCTCACTCAATTTGTGTTGTCAAAATGCTAGGCTTAAAAAGTTTTCATGCATGAGAGAGCATGTTGAGAATGAATCTCACGTTGATAGGAGATGAACCTTACATGGCTTATAATGACTTATAAATAAATTAGGTTACTCCATATATTACCAAATGAGTTTATGGTAGAACCTCAACTTTTTTCGATTAACACTATATTAACCAATTAGTACGTACAATATTTTGGAACAATAGTACGTACGTACAAGATTTAGAACAGAAAATGGGACACATGCATCTTCCATGTACACCTAATTTGAACCAATTTAATGTGGGGTATAAAGAGCTACACTACATAATCACATATGCGATCATATAAATAAGGGAGACTTTGGATGCGGTCCCTAGTTATGAACAATCTTTGACTGAAACTTTGTTGGTTTTCAATTTTTGATCCAAGTCCCTAAAATTAATTGATAATTTATTTCTATGTACGTTACTATATTTTTTAAATTAAAAATTAAAATTTATAGTTGTTTATAGTAATGAGATTTTAAATAAAAAACATAATTTGTGGGATTAAAAATATTAAAATATAAATATACTATTGTGTGTGTGTAAACAGGGGTACATTCATAAAAAATAACCAAAAAATGATTGTATCAAAACATGGGTACATTCTTCAAAATGGGTACATTTAGCAAAAATAAAAATGGGTACAAATAAATAAAAAAATATGGGTACAATACAAATAAAACTGTAAAAAATATGGGCACAAAAAGAAATTAATATATGGGTACAAATTAAAATTGAAAGGAAAATTGGTACAAATTAAAAAAGGGTTGCAAATTAAAAATGGGTACAAACTAAAAATAAAAATATATGATAAAAAATTTAGCCATAAATATAAATATACTAATTGTAACATTTTTAATATTAAATGAATATATTTAGAAATAAAAAATATTTTATTATTGAAATAATTAATGATATTATTAATACAAAGGACCTTGATCAAAAATTGAAAAGTAATAAGGTTTTAATCAATAGAGTAGTAAAAATAAGGATGAAAACCTAATTACTCCTATAAATAAACAAATGATTATAATCGAAATCCCATTTTGCTTCCATTTTACGAACCTTTCTATACATGTTGGTATAAATAATTAATTTAACTATGTAATTAACTGTAAATTAACTAAACCCAACTGCTTCCTTTTCTGGGTTTTTCATCATCATCATCATCATCATCATCACCATCATCTCTTAGACTATCTGAACAAGACGAATGACCAGAACGCCATGAAAATAGTAACCCCAGCAGCAAGGCAGATCATGTCGAAAGCCTTCTCTCTCCTCTCGTTTCTCTTCCTCCTCTCTCTCTTCATCTCCAAGTACTCCTCCAACCTCGCCTTCCCGTTTATCTCCTTCCTCCTCTTCCCTCCTTCGATCGCCCTCTGCAATATTACCAAGCTCTCCCTCCCGTTCAAATGATTCTCCTCCATGGCCTCCACATGCATGCTCACCTCCCTCACGTGCAGCTCCCCACCTTCGGTCCCCTTGCACGTGACCACCGTACCGCACTGCACATACTCACCCTTCTTCTCCCCCGCCAATATCGTCGTGAACCGCAGCTGTATTTCCCCCGTCAGCCAGTGCTGCTGCACCGTCACCGGCCTCCGGCTCGACAAATTCGCCGCCCGTTTCCGGGTTGGATCGATCACGATCCAGCTCAAGCTCAAGTTCTCCTCCAAGTGCTTCAATGACTTTTGGCCTTCTCCGACATGTCGGATTGGTGTCGGAAAGGTTTCCTTCGGGTCAAGCAAGTCCACCCGGAAGGGCGAGCATAAGAACCACCCGGATTCGGTCTCTGATTCCTGAACCTTAGAGAAAATGAGCTGGCCTTTGTAGAAAATATCGACGGCCGAGATTAACTCCGCGGTGCGAGACGAAGGGCTGAGAGCGAATTGGGAGGGGGAGTAGTCGAGGAGCGGGAAAGAGTCGGAGAAAAAAGAGCGGTGACCGGCTGGGAAAGTGGAAATGAGGTCGTTAACACGTGTATCGGTGGTTGAAGGCCACATGGCGGTGCTGATGTCCCGCCAGAGTTTTCCTTCGGTGGAGAAAGCGCGTAGTTCGGACGATGCGCAGGCCACAGCGGCCAAGGTCTGGCCGTTGAGGCGGGTGAGGATGTGGGCCGTGATGATGTCGTGATGGACGGCGGAGATTGAAGCTCCGTTGCCCTTGTCGGCGGCCGGTGTGGTTGAAGCAGCAGAGAAGCTCATTGTGAAATAAACAACGATGAGTTGAGGTTTTCTTGAGTTGTGTTGAGTGGTGACAAGGAAGGGTGTGGAGGGGCGGGTTTTATAGTGAGGAGACTGAGGGGAGTAAACCAAAGCTGAATGGTCAAACAACGTTTCAAGGTTTATGAATCTTAATTATTAATTAATTAGTTAAACAATAATTAAACTAGTTGCAGTGAAGGTACGGGCAAACCTCCTCTTTGATTAAACTAGATTTGTGTCATTTAATACTTGGAACTTGGAACACAAGCGTGTTTCATACCTTCTTTTCTTTCATTTTATTTATCTATTTTAGGGTTTAAGAATTAAATAACCTGAGTCCTCCTAAGATTTAAGAATGAAATATAATCTGTGTTTCTCTTGGTTTCCTTTTTATTTAGGTTGGTTGATTATTGTAATGTTTTTGGTGGGGATTGGGGGAGGTTTTGGTTTCATCTATTCTTTTTTACTTCTTTGACAATTATTTCTAAATTATTTACGTAGCATGTTATTAATAGTTGTGGGTATGTTCTAGTTTTGTGTTTGGTTTCAACTACAAAGTGAGATACCTATGTACTAGAGTCTTGTTTTTATTTTTTTTGTTGATACTTGGTAGTCGAAGATTTATGATTATTTATCTTTGCTAAGACTCTTTTCATTATATATACGTCGTCTTTGAAAATATGTAGTATTCTTTAATTTTCTTTTGCGTCAATGAAGTGTGTTTTCATCATGGATCCTAGTTACCGTGTGTTTTCATCAGTAGAGATGACTTGCAATTTCACCAAAAAAATCATGCAAAATTAAGGTACTAAATACGAATGCAAAATTAAGGGTGCAAGCGAAGACTGAGTTATTAACGAACTAACGATTCTTAATTATGGTTAACAATTCTTCTTTATAAGATTTGAACTCAGTCTTCATTAGAAAATGAAAGAGAAATTATTAGTAGACCAGTAGCAGGGAAATGTTTGGTATTAACTAGTTCTGGCCACTACCCTAAATTTGCCTAATACATTAAGATTTTAGGTACCTTATAATAATATTCATTAGAAATACGATTGAGACTTGAGACCGTATTAATTAGGGATTTAATTATACCGTTATCATCTTATCGCAATTTTGATGACACAAGTGATAACAACGTACGGCTAGTTGACAGCTCTATTTTGGTTGTCTTTACTTGACTTGACTATTAAGCTTAAATAGTCCAACTTACTCAAATAAACTGTTTTGGCAATACTTTAATTATACGTGGACGGCAGTGATGCCTTTCTGATTTTCTTAAGCTACTATGTCAACACATTTCTCTTCTCAACACTCGGCGCACTTTTAAGTTCAGTACATGTGGAGGTGGAGGAAATGTTCACACACTCAGCTCAACCAAGCCCCACAAAGCTAGGTCGCAAGGACATGAACACGGACACGGGTACAACGACAGGGATACGACGATATGGTGACATAAAAAATTTAAAAGGAAAGATACTGACACAGCTAGGACACGACGATTAAATAAAAAAAAATTACATACGTAAAAACAATACTTCGAATTCGAATGCATAATACATAACAAAGTACTCGTGTTCCTCACTGTCTCTAGTTTCGGTTCATCAAGAAAGGTTTGTGATTTCGAGAGAAAGAGGACCGAATAGATGACTTGAGAGAAGACTGAATAGGATTGGATTTAGGACTTGGGAGTAGAGACGCCGCGAAGGAATGGAGAGAAGGGCTGAAATAGAATTGAAGTTAAGGGGTCGGGAAATTTTAGGCTTTAGAAGGTTTGATATTTATAAAACTGCCCCAAAATTTTTTTTTATATTAAAAAAAATGTTCCGGTCGTATTTTGATCGTGTCTTAACAGTGACTTGATCGTGTCCAACCCATATTCTGGACGCGTTTGAGGCGTGTCGGCGTGGTGGAGTGTCACATACTCAGATACTTCGGAACTTTGGAGTGTTCGTGACCTAAGAGTAGTTTAACTGTCAACGTGTTTGGCATTTTGACACTATATAATTTAGCACTTTCTTGGATCAACGTTTCCTTGTCGAATTCCAAACGAGTAAAAAGCCGAATAAATAAAGTAGTGCACTTTCTCAATGAGGAAGCAATGGCCTTTGGGGTACCACCATACCAACCATTTGTATTTCCTTTCGTTAGGTTTTGCAAGTTTTCTATGTTCAAACTTATAGCAGGACTTTGTTAGACATTCTTAGCACAATATTATTATATTGAGGGTATGTCAATTGTGGAGCCTAAAATAATCCCAAACATTCTAGAGATGATACGTGGATTTTTGCTCAAGAAAGACAAGATTGCCCTCAATAAATGGGCAGACTCCTCAGACACTTCCACGCGCAGCTCACACCCCTGAAGGTCTTAGTAGCTGAATACAACTGACCACAGCTCACCTGCACTTGACAAGGAAAAGTCAAAACATTAAAGATAAGGATTCATTACCCAATTCCTATCTTTAATACATTCCCAATTGAAGATTGACTCCAATCAAGTAAGTAATCCCAATTTAAATCAATTAGGGTTAATTACTCCATTATCTCAAGATACTATTTCCTATTTAATATCTTGAGAATATTTCTCCATAAACATTGGCCAATATGATGCCGCCATGTGTAGGGTAAAACCCTAACACTATGGCCGGCCCTCTCCCCTATATATACCCCATATTCTACCAAATTTACCCTAAAAAGCCCTAAACACTTTACTCCCTTTAGAGAAATTGACTTAGGCATTGAAGATCCATTGGCCTAAACCCCCCGCACCTTGTGGGCGCGTGAAACTTAGGTCTTTGATCAAAGGTGTTGATTTTTGCAGGTGCATTTTCGTCAAGACTGAAGATGGCAAAAATTTTCATCAACAAATTTGTGCTTTTATTGAAAGCTGATTCAAATACTCGAAGAAGCCTCTTGCATTTGGTTTATTGAATTTTCTGTTACGTTGAATTTCTCACACGTCGTAACAATTAATTTTCCCTACAAAAGTTTATTGATCAATCATTGGAGAAAGGATACAATGGTGGGAAATTCAGAAACCACGACAAACGGAACTCTGTACATACAAGGATTTGGACCAGAGAGTGGAGATGAGGACATAGCCCCGAGACGGCGATCCTCAAGGCTCTACGCAACGGTGGAAGTAGCCCCACCGCCGCCACTGTGACCTGGCAGCACGGTAGGGCCACCAGGCTACAGCCCAGATGCAAGTGTCACTACCCTTGCAGCGCCGTAGCCCTCAAAACCCTAGGTAGGAGGCCCAGAACCCCCAAGCCGCAAGCCGAGCCCAGGAAGCCCAAGTTGCAGCAGCTCAAGCCACCAGCCAGGTAGCCCAAGTTGCAGCAACCTAAGCCGCAACAACTAGAGCCCAGCCATCACGACCCAAGCCCAACGCTGAGCCCAACTTACTGTAAATGCAGCCCAGGCCCAACTTACTACTAAGGCAACTCGAGCCCACTTGGCTGCTAACCGAGCCTAAGCCCGTGAAGAACCAACGCTAGCCCAAGGCACAGTGCAAACCCAATGCCAACCGCCACATGTGCGAGCTTAGCACATCTACACTCACGGACCGACTACCTAACCGGGTTGGCTCGCTCTGCAACCCGCTCTGACGACTCAACCCACGGTACATTCCAATCCGAGGCCACCTCTATCGATCTAGATTTCAACCACCGGTCCCGCGATGGACTTAGGGTTATTTTCACCCCATTTTTCTGCAGGAATGTTTGCTTTGGGCTCAGGCTTTGTACTTGCAGTCCACTATACTTCCACCACGCATAGAGACACCTATCATCCAAACTCTTCCAATCCAAATGGCGGGCATGACCTCCCCAACATGTCATTAATCTAACAAGTGCCCTCACGCAGCAAACCACCTTGGTGAGCCAACTCCTTGAGCGCATCGAGACACAGTGTGCCCTAGACGAGGTGTCCTGAAGTAGGACAAGGGTGGAATAACGTGACTCATTCAAGTGACGTCCCGGTAAAGAGCCGCTCAGCCCGTCACGAATCGTGCGTTCGGGAAGTGCGCACTCTAGTTTGGAACCTCGGGAAAATGTGCATTCAAGGTTTAGATGCATAGAGAAGCATTCTTTCCTGCCTTGGCTCACGCGTCAGTGTGCATTCAAGGTTGGGTCCACACTCCAAAGAGCACTCAGGATATTCCCAGCTAATCGTCCACTTGAGGCTAAGCCCACAAGGAGATCCTTTTGCGAGGCACTAGAGTAGGTAACCATATGGCGAACCGAGGAGAGCACGAAAGCAGTCCAGCTCAAGTTCCACTAGTAGCCCCCACCAAGCATGACGGTGAGCAATACTGAACTAACCACGTGCATCGTAACAGCAGCATAGATGAGCAGGACATGCCGTAGAGCAACATGGACCAGCAGGTCAGCACCGGGGGTAGCTGGAGGCTTCACTGCCTTACTAGGCACAAATCCAGGAGAAAGTATAAAGGCTCGTAGCAGAGCAGTTGCGCGGATTCTAGTGCATTGTTATTACCGATGATGCCCTTTGTAGAAACATGGCCAACTTAAGCAGGTCACCGTTTATAGACAATATCGAGTAGACGGAGCCACCGTAAAAGTTCAGGCAGCTGCATTTCACCTTGTTAAAAAAAGATAAAGATTTAGACAGGCACCTGATGCACTACCGAATTGCCATGACCCTCTACGCCAACAATAACACTCTTATGTGCAAAATCTTTGCCACGATGCTCCAAGGCTAAAGACTGGTTCCACACCTTGCCGCCACGTTCAATCTAGAACTTCAGTGAACTTTCCTTGGTTTTAACTAAAGAATATTCGTCCTACCGCTCAATTAAGAAGAAGTCTGACCACCTAGTCAACATGAAGAATGACCCGAAGGAGTAACTCTGCACATATGTCAAGAGGTTCAAGGTGGAGCAGGCGAAGATCGTTGGATGCGATGATAGCATTGCGTGCTTAGCCTTCTAGAAGGGGCTTCCAACAGATCATCCACTTTTCGGATAGCTAA